AACATGGCACCTCTGGGAGGGTACCTGGAAGATTGCTTTCCTCAAGGGACCCCATGTCTGGTGCTATGTTAGTTGGAGGGGGTAGTCTATCACTCACTTTGGGCAAAGGGGTCTTGGGATCTTGCGCCAAGCATCTTTTGAGGTGCAAAGGCCCCAATGGCACAAAGTCCACAGAGCGGTTGGAGCTCCAGCCTCAGCTTCTTGCGCACATCGAAGTTGACAAATTTGTGTTGACACGTTTATGTATATATATATACACACGTGAAATATTAGATAAATAAGAAAATAACATAAATAGACAAACAAGTAACTGAATAAATAAACAAATAGATACATGTATACATATATATACAAACATATGTTTTGGCGGTTTCCTCTGGTCACTTAGGTATGGCAGGACAGGTCCGAGGGGCTGCGAGCTCAGAGTTGCGATTTGCTCGATGAATCGCTCGACTCGGCTGAGGATGCGGGCATCTGGGAAAATGATTTGAATCGCCTTGGCACCGAGCTGAGCCGTCGGCTCAGACGTCTGGTTTGGTGACAGTCGTGGGACGTGCGCAACGGTGAGAAACAAGGCAGCTATGGCTTGAGAATTTGTGCGGTAATTTGTTCTAGCATAGCTAAAGCCAGTCGAAACAAGTGATGTCAACCTCAGACAAATAAAGGTCCCGAACCTGTCACGCAAGGGCTAGACAACTGGTCCCGAAATGCGATTTCTTGCACAAGCGGCTAGGCACGTGAAGGGTGTTGTTAAGACGCCGAGTGTTTTGTTGCTCGCCGAGAAAAACTCCAAACAAGGAAGAGGACATGAAATGGTTATATGTTCAACATGCACCGATGCTCCGGCCTCTATACGCACAATAAAGCGCGCACTGCATTCCATCGCCATCTCCTGGCCTTTCCAATTGCACTGAGCTCCGAGCCCGCCCACGCCAGCCCGGTTGCAAGCGCAAGGAGCCATGTTCCGCAGATTGTTCTTGCCAATTCCTCCGACCTTGCCATTTCTCACGAGGCCCACGAGGTGGAACACTTGAAATAGGCACCCAAGCGAGTCAGAACCCATGTCATTGGCCCCGCAGTTTCACACACCTCAGAGACGCTCTTTGCTTTCCTTCGATGCATTTGGGTGGGCCAAAAGGCTGACCAACCTGCTTCTTTGAGCACGTGACTGGATCTGTCACACTAGGTGAGCGCAATCCAAGAAAGGATACCCTCCCACCAATTAGCATGGAACCTGACAGGGTCCTGGTTTGGACCATTTTCCTTTCAAAGACCCTGTCAGGTTCCATGTTAATTGGTGGGGGGGGGCACCTACATGGTTGTTGTTGGCAAACATTTTTCATGTTTGCTTCTTGTGGCTTACGGGGAAATCCAACCACTTAACTGCTAAAATTTGAATTCTTGCTCCCCTTCCAACGTCAACCAAGCCTAATTTTGACACCGGGGCCTAGGGTTCATCAAGCCTCAGGCCAGGGCCTCCCTGGCATCGAACGTCGTCAGCTTAGACCCACCGGTGTCATGGGGACACGTGGAACGGATCGGTTTAGTGCCACCCTCAAAACGGTGGCCCCCCCCCCCCAAAAGGGGGCAACCCATTTCATAGCCTCTTGAAGAGTTTGAGGGGTGAGTCTTGCAAAAAGAAGTTCAAGCCACCAGGAGAGGTGAGGAGAGATGTCCTCTTGGTGGACCCCGGCACATATTCATCCTACTTTTCTCTGGATGCTTGACCCGTTGCTTGTCATTCTGCACTTGTGCATGACAGGCAGAGCACATCACCGAGTTTGGCAGTGCACAGGCTCTGTTGAGAAGCAACGGGCTAAGAGCATGTGAGTGTAGAATTCCGTCAGCAAAATCACATGCTGCTACTTTGTGCATTCTCAGTTCTGATCATTTTCGCGCTCATCTACCTGGCTGTTGGCTCATTCATCAAGTGCCCTCATGGCAGGGAGGGTAGGTACAATACTTGAAGGTGAAACATCATCGGAGGAGAAGCAAACGCGCGCGCACCAGGCCACATGCTCGCACTGACTTCCGGACGCAGCTGTAAGGTACCAGATGAACGGAGCCACTGGCGTGCACCCTACAATGTGGGCCTGCGCTGTGACGTTTGTTTTGCCCCAAGGCATCAACACCATACCGCACGTCGGCTTTTGGCTGGAGTCGAGAGCTCAACTTTCTGCTTGACCTCGGATCATTTCTGGGACCAGCAGTTGATGCCCGAGAGAGCACATGCGCCCAGTTACCCGCAGCTGGTCATGGACGGAGTGGCATACTCCAAGATCCTGTTAGGCCTTGACAGTTGTAAGAGACGATGTCGACGATGTCGACGTATGCCGCTTGCAGACGGAGCTTCTGGGAAGCCAGCGGCGCGAGACTTCGATGATCTCACTGGAGGCGTGCCGTGTTGGTCTTCCGACGTGTGCGATGTGCAGCGAGGCTTGGACGGCAGCATCAGAGGCGTGTCTCTCGGTGCCGGCCCCGGACGCCAGCAGAAATAAAGGTATGAAGGTAATGCTGACCTCATATTAATCAATGCCTGTTTATTAATGAGAGCGGGCCGCCATGGGGCCTGTGTTTTTGCAATCAGCCTTTTTTACGCCCTGGCATGGATGGATGCACTTTTACTCGCACGTGCTGTGTTGAGGCCATCCACTGAAGTACTCTCCAAGGATTCCTGATTCCAGCTGTAATGCCTGCAAGTATTCCCTCTGTATTCCCCTAGTATTATCCAAGTATTCCCCAAACTTTAGAGCCTCCGGCTCAGTCCGCCGACATTGTCCTCTCCCTTTTCTCCTTCTTCCTCTCTTCCTTGTCTCCCTTGTGTGCTCTCCCTCCCTCTGCTCCCATCCTCCCCATCCCCCCAAGCCTCTCTCTTCCCAATCTCCCTCTCTCGTATGTATGCATGCATGTACATAAGTATGTATGTATGCATGTATGTATGTATGTATGTATGTATGTATGTAATGTATGTATGTATGTATGTATGTATGTATGTATGTATGTAATGTAAGCAAGTAAGTAAGTAAGTAAGTACCTAAGTAAGTATGTATGTACGTAATGTATTTATGTATGTATGTATGTATGAATGTAATGTAATGTATGTATGTATGTAATGTATGTATGTATGTAATGTATGTATGTATGTATGTATGATGGATGTACGTATGTATGTATGTATGTAATGTAATGTAATGTAATGTAATGTAATGTAATGTAATGTAATGTAATGTAATGTAATGTAATGTAAGTAATGTAATGTAAGTAATGTATGTATGTATGTATGTATGTAATGTATGTATGTATGTATGTATGTATGTATGTATGTATGTATGTATGTATGTATGAAATGTAATGTATGTATGTATGTATGTATGTATGTATGTATGTATGTATGTATGTATGTATGTATGTATGTATGTATGTATGTATGTATGTATGTATGTATGTATGTATGTATGTATGTATGTATGTATGTGTATGTATGTATGTATGTATGTATGTATGTATGTATGTATGTATGTATGTATGTATGTATGTATGTAATGTATGTCTGTATGTAATGTATGTATGTATGTATGTATGTATGTATGTATGTATGTATGTATGTATGTATGTATGTATGTATGTATGTAATGTATGTATGTATGTATGTATGTATGTATGTATGTATGTATGTATGTATGTATGTATGTATGTATGTATGTATGTATGTATGTATGTATGTATGTATGTCATGTATGTAATGTATGTATGTATGTATGTATGTATGTATGTATGTATGTATGTATGTATGTATGTATGTATGTATGTATGTATGTATGTATGTATGTATGTATGTATGTATGTATGTATGTATGTATGTATGTATGTATGTAATGTATGTATGTAATGTATGTATGTAATGTAGTAATGTATGTATGTATGTGTATGTATGTATGTAATGTATGTATGTATGTATGTATGTATGTATGTATGTATGTATGTATGTAATGTAATGTAATGTAATGTAATGTAATGTAATGTAATGTAATGTAATGTAATGTATGTATGAATGTCATGTAATGTAATGTAATGTAATGTAATGTAATGTATGTATGTATGTATGTATGTACGTATGTATGTAATGTAATGTAATGTAATGTAATGTAATGTAATGTAATGTAATGTAATGTAATGTAATGTAATGTAATGTAATGTAATGTAATGTAATGTAATAATGTAATGTAATGTAATGTAATGTAATGTAATGTAATGTAATGTAATGTAATGTAATGTAATGTAATGTAATGTAATGTAATGTAATGTAATGTATGTTATGTAATGTAATGTAATGTAATGTAATGTAATGTAATGTAATGTAATGTAATGTAATGTAATGTAATGTAATGTAATGTAATGTAATGTAATGTAATGTATGTATGTATGTATGTATGTATGTATGTATGTAATGTATGTATGTATGTATGTATGTATGTATGTATGTATGTATGTATGTATGTATGTATGTATGTATGTATGTATGTATGTATGTATGTATGTATGTATGTATGTATGTATGTATGTATGTATGTATGTCGGTAGGTAGGTAGGTATGTATGTAATGCATGTATGCATGTATGTATGTATGTATGTATGCATGCATGTATGTATGTATGTATGTATTGTGTGTAATGTATGTATGACATGTATGTATGTATGTATGTATGCATGCATGCATTCATGCATGTATGTATGTATTTCCCGCAAAAAAAAAACACGGTTTTTCCAGCGTTTTCGCAAAGAGGACGTCCAAAAACATTGAGTTTTTCCAGATTTTCGGCAAAAGGATGCAGGAAGCCCAAGCCAGCAAAAAAAGCCGGCAGGGGGAATCGAGCCTGGGACCCCTGTTTTGCGACACCGGCTCCCCGAAGACTACGTTTAGTGGAACGTCATCAAATTGCCGCGCGGTACGTGGGGGACCCCCCCCCCCCAAAAACCTACGTAATAGACGTCGGGCGGGG